CAATGATCGGTAAGTTTATAAATTTTTATTTTAATATTTTTTGTCTTTTATTTATTTATTTATTCTTTTTCTTCTCTTGTTTTATTTTTTTGTTTTTCTTTTTTGTTTTTTTTGTTTTTCTTTTTTTTTTGTTTTTTTTTTCGTTTAACTCGGAAAGTATCTAAATTATTTTCAAGTAATTCTCAATAGATTTTGACGCGAAAGAAATAAAATTGTTTCGAAGATTAATTAAACTTGGAGCTTGATTAATTAGATTTTGGTTTCTTCTATCTTTTTATTATCTTATTTCGTTTATCCTTACTTTTCATTTTTTTTTTTTCTTTTTTTTTTTTTTTCTAATTTTCTTGTTGATCCAACGATCAACGAGCGAGTGTTCGTCTTTTTTCTTTTTTTTCTTTCTTTTTTTCTTCTTCGAACCAAAAGCGATAAAATTAGTTGGTTCGAGTTTAGCGAATTATAAAAAATATTCAAATCATTGCGAAATTATTTTTCGATTTGTTACATATAAAATATTTTTGATAATTAGACTTGGATCGATTAATTATTATTATTATTTTCTTTTTCTTTCGTTTTGCCCTTTTCGATTTGTTCGTTTAATGATTATCAGAGAGAGTTTTTTTTTTTTTTTTTTTTTTTTTGTCGCGTATAAAACGAATCAAAAAAGAAATTATTTCTTTTGGTTCGACGTGACGTTAATATAAAAAAAAAAAAAAAAAATTAATTCTTTTAAAATGATTTTCGTCAGAATTAATGATATTTTTTTCTCGATGATATAACGTTTATGATCTATTAGATCGAATAACAAAAATTTTATTATAATCGATCGACAGAATTTTCGAGGATATTTTAATAATGATAATAGAAGATTACGAGAACAACGACGAAAGAAATAATCGTGAAAGAATGAAGAAGAAAGTTATTCTCTCTCAACGTTTCGCAAGTTGTACAATTATATTATATTCGACAACGGTTATATTATTTTCGATATCCGTCATTTTTGCATCTGAAAGAGTACCAGTACTTAAGATGGAATTACCATTCGACTCAATGAAATCACCGATTTACGAGATAGTATCAATATTACAATTTATACAAGAATTAATATTTGCCTCGACTTCCGGCCTATTGAACGGTCTGATCGTGACCTTGGTAAGTTTCAATGAAAAATTCGTTTATTTCACGAAGCAGAGACAAAACGTGACTCCAAGAATATTACAAAGTTGTTCTCGTTGTATTGTATTTTGCCAATTGGATTTTGCAAATTCGGATCAATTTTTTTTGTTTTCTTTTTCTTTTTCTTTTCTTTTTTTTTTTCTCACTACGCACAAGAAAAAGAAAGAAAGAGAGAAAGAACAAAGTAAAAATAAAAATAAAATTATCATAATTTCGTAACAAAAGTTTAGAGAATATTTATCGTAAAAGTTAAATGATTTTTTCGAGGATATTCTGATGTTGTTGGTTCTTTTTTTTTTCTTTTCTTTTTTTGTTGGTAGGTGGATAAAGTTTAAAGGTCAAGATTGAGTTACTTTTTTAATGCATTAATTAAATTATAAAATATTCTATGTAAGAAAAAAATTATTAATTCATGCACGTAGAACAATTACTTTGGCAAATGATTTAATTTAAATATCGTTAAGACAAAGGGCGATTAAAATCTAATAAGAGTATCTACAAGTAAATACATAGCAAGTAAATAATAAATAAATAATAGTAGTAGTAAAAAATTAATAATATGTTAATTTATGTTACACTTGGATAAGCAGAAAATGAACGTAGATTTATTTGCGATAGGAAAATCTTTCGTTTTTTTTAATCATTCAATTTCGTAAATTGGCAACTACTTTAATAGATCGTTTTTATCTTTTATTTTAAGATAAACAAATATTCAAATTTATATAATTGTAATGAAAATGTTAATGTTTTCGTTATATGTCGTTATTACGAAAAAAAGAAAAAAGAAAAAAAAAAAAAAAAAAAATTCAATTTCGACAAATTATTTAAAAAATCCATTTTATTATAACAATATTATTGCAATATTTATATAAATAAAGGATTATTTATCGTTGAAAATGATATTTGTATCAAGTCTGTACGACTTTTCGTTCCGAAGATATCGCTTTCGAAAGATTTTCATTCATAATTCGTATGATACAGCTGTTCGTAGTAATAGTAGTAAATCGTCCAGCTGGCACGCGTAAATTCTCAGAATTTATGTAGGTCAGTGTGTCATTTGGTAAATTTGAATGAAATTATGTAGGTCAGTGTGTCAACGTAAATGTCTTAAATTTATATAGGAATATCTCTGGAACTAAAAGTCCTAGAGACTTGATACAAATACCATTTTAAAGGGCAAAAATTTCCCTATTTTTTCAACGTATTGTTAATAATAAATTAACAATTTGTTATAAACAATATTTACAAACAAATTCTTACGAACTAAGTTTATCTTATATTGTCCGAAAAAAGAAGAAAGAAAACAAATTCTGATAGTATCTAATTCAAAAACTTAATAAATAAATTAATAAATAATTAATCAACAAATTACTTTTTTTTTTTAATTATTAATAATCACGTCTTACATTTGCATAGGGATATCTCCGGAATTAAAAATCTTAGAGACTTGAAACTAATATCATTTTAAAGGGCAAAAATTTCCTTATTTTTTCAACGTATTGTTAATAATAAATTAACAATTTATTATAAACAAATTCTTACGAGCTAAGTTTATCTTATATTGTCAGAAAAAAAAGAAAACAAATTCTGATAGCATCTAATTCAAAAACTTAATAAATAAATTAATAAATAATTAATCAACAAATTACTTTTTTTTTTTTAATTATTAATAATCACGTCTTACATTCGCATAGGGATATCTCCGGAACTAAAAGTCTTAGAGACTTGAAACTAATATCATTTTAAAGGGCAAAAATTTCCTTATTTTTTCAACGTATTGTTAATAATAAATTAACAATTTGTTATAAACAATATTTATAAACAAATTCTTACGAATTAGATTTATCTCATTTTGTCAAAAAAAAAAGAAAAAAAAAAAAAAAAGAAAATAAATAAATAAATTTAAAAAGTATAAAATTACTTTTGATACATAAAATTACACAAATTAATAACAAATTAATAAATAATTTCTATATCATTATAGAAGCCATATTACGTCTTTCACTAATACGATAGAATATCTTTTAAAGTCGAAATTGTAGAAACTTGAAAAAAATACGCAAAGTAAATGTAAGTGTAAGGAAAAAGTAAACGTAGAATAATGATGTAAGATAAGCGTGAAATAATGGTGTAAAGTAAATGAAGAATAATGATTCAAGGTAACCTAAGAAAACCATTATTCTCTCTTGCTACAACTATTTATTTACTACTACTACTACTACTATTCTATATGTTGTTATATATTGACAAATACTCTTTGTCAGAAGTCAGGGTCGACTTGGAGTGGTCTTTTTTCTTTTATCTTTTTTCTCTCTTTTTTTTCTTTCCTCTCTTTCTCTTTCTCTCTCTCTCTCTCTCTCTCTCTCTCTCTCTCTCTCTCTCTCTCTCTCTCTCTCTCTCTCTTCTAGACTCGCTGATTTCTGCTTTGTGATCAATCGAAAAAACAAAGAAAAAAAAAAGAAAAAAAAAAAAAAGAAAAACGATCGATCAACTCAGCACAGTTTTAGATGCTTCATCTTGGTGGACAAGCAGAAATCATGTGTCAAAGACTCGGCGATATCTCATTGGAAATAATCAATGGAAAATCTTGCAAGGATAATTTGAGATCGTTGATCTATGCACATCAAAGGATTATTAATTTTTCAACTTGCGTCGAAAGTGTATTCAATTATATCGCTTTGATACAATTCCTATCGAATACTTTGGCCATTTGTTTTTCTGGATTTGTGATAATAACGGTGAGTAATATTAATATTATTACGATGTCGTGACAATTTTTTTTTTTTTTTTTTTTTTTTTTTAATAACGATAAGAGTACATTTAGATCATCAATAATGAGGACAAATAAATTTCATGCGATTAAATGTCACATTTATATTATATTATTTTATTATTAGAGGATTAAAATTAGTAATTTTATATATATATATATTTTTTTTTTTTAAGTATAATTATAATATAATTATATTATATTAAGTATTAAGTTATATTATTAAATTATATTTTTATTATTATTATTAATAATAATAATTATTATTATTAATAATTTATTAACTATTTATTATTGTTATTATTGTTATTATTATTAACTATTTATTATTATTATTATTATTATTATTATTATTATTATTATTATTATTATTATTATTATTATTATTATTATTATTATTATTATTAATAGTCATTCGACTCCGATCAAGGCTCAGTAATATTGGCAAAGACTTTACCATACTACACTGTGGTCAATTTGGAAGCGTTCATTCTTTGTTTCGCTGGCGAATATCTCACCTCGAAGGTTTTTCATATCATTTTATTTTGTACTACACACACTATATATATATATATATATATATATATATATATATATATATATATATTTTCCTTTTCATTCTTCTACTTCTTCATCTTATTCTTTTCGAATCGTATCAAGTATTAATCCTTATCGAATTTTTTCGTAGACTTTCGATAAAAGACTTTTTCTTTTTCTTTTTCTTTTTCTTTTTTCTTTTTTCTTTCTCCTTTTTTTTCCAGGGAAAAGCTATCGGTGAAGCCGCATACACGTGCACTTGGTACGAACTAAGGCCGAATGAAAGCCGATATTTCTTGCTTTTGATACTGAGATCTCAGAAAAGATTGACGATCACTATCGGAAAATTCATGGATTTATCTTTGGAATGTTTCGCCAGTGTAAGATAAATTTTTATTATAAATCAATATGCCTATATAAAAGTGATATATGTATATATAATTTATTTTTTTCTTTTTTTTTTTTCTTTTTTCATATTCTGTTAAACTTATATTCGCATGTCGTTTATTTCATTTTTCTT